TTTTAGTCTCTTGTTTTCTCTTCCAGACAAAGCAAAGGGAGCACCAGGCTGGTGTATGACCCCCCCCCCCCCTTCATAGTCGATGACCCATTTCCTGCCTGATCTCAGGGCTGATAAATACTGACATACTTTCTGACCAATACTGAGTTAACATAACCTCTGCTTTGCTTTAACTTATCTATGTATTTGTGTTCATAGCTGGTCTGATGGTTTAGCAACTGCCGCAATGCACAGCCAGGCAGGTGACGCCACTACCTCCTGTTGCAGTTTTGCAATTTCCCGCCCACTCATTAAAACATGAAAGGTCATCTCCACAGCACTGAAAATACTTCTTACCGGCTTCTTGACACACAGACGTGTAGGAAGTATCACAGCCGTGTAGGAAGTATCACAGCCAGTGGGTTAGGATGTGTCAGGCAACCAGCATTTTTATAAGAAGATCAGCAATAGTAGTCCATGTGTCCCAGTCATGTCAGGTTTATTGTCCCTGGCACTGGAGTTCTGAACTATTCTCTCTATAATTTGATGTTGTATAAAGAAAAATATATGAAATGTACAGTTGTGTTCAAAATAATAGTGTGTTTAAAAAAGTGAATAAAGCTGAAAATCCCTCTAATAGCATTTATTTCCATACACACAAATGCATTGGGAACACGACACATTCTATTCCAAATCAAAACATGATGAAAAATAGATCAAATTTGTGTTGTTCCTCTAAAGAAATTGAAGAAAAGTGATTAGACTGTTCAAAAACATAGCAGTGTTTGTATTCTTCTTTACAAACTCAAACATTCACTATATAAACTAAAAAATGTTTGAAGATTTTGCTTTCCTTTGAATCACTTAATGAATATTTGGTTGTAGTCGCACTGTTTCTGAGAACTGCTGTACATCTGTGTTGCATGGAGTCAACCAACTTCTGGCCCCTGTGATCAGGTATTCCAGCCCAGGATGATTGGACTACATTCCACAGTTCTTCTCTATTTCTTGGTTTTGCCTCAGAAACTGCATTTTTGATGTCACCCCACAAGTTTTCTATTGGATTAAGATCCGGGGATTGGGCTGGCCACTCCATAACGTCAATCTTGTTGGTCTGGAACCAAGATGTTGCATGTTTTACTGGTGTGTTTGGGGTCGTTGTCTTGTTGGAACACCCATTTCAAGGGCATTTCCTCTTCAGCATAAGGCAGCATGATCTCTTCAAGTATTCTGATGTATTCAAACTGATCCATGATCCCTGGTATGCGATAAATAGGCCCAACACCGTAGTATGAGAAACATCCCCATATCATGATGCTTGCACCACCATGCTTCACTGTCTTCACAGTGTACTGTGGCTTGAATTCAGTGTTTGGGGGTCATCTGACAAACTGTCTCCGGCCACTAGACCCAAAAAGAACAATCTTCCTTTCATCAGTCCACAAAATGTTGCGCCATTTCTCTTTAGGCCAGTCAATGTGCTCTTTGGCAAATTGTAACCTCTTCAGCACATGTCTTTTTTTCAACAGTGGGACTTTGCGGGGGCTTCTTGCAGATAGCTTGGCTTCACATAGGCGTCTTCTAATTGTAACAGTACTCACAGGGAACTTTACACCTTCTTTCATCTTCCTGGAGCTGATTGTTGGCTGAGTCCTTGCCATTTTGGCTATTGTTCTATCCATTCGAATGGTAGTTTTTCACTTTCTTCCACGTCTTTCAGGTTTTGGTTGCCATTTTAAAGCATTTGCAATCATCTTAGCTGAGCAGCCTATCATTTTCTGTACTTTATATGTTTTCCCCTCTCCAATCAACTTTTTAATCAAGGTACTCTGTTCTTCTGAACAATGTCTGGAACGACCCATTTTCCTCAGAATTTCAGAGAGAAATGCACTGTAACCAGCATGTACAACATTTGCTGCCTTCCTTCCTTAAATAAGGGCAATAATTGCCACCTGTTTTTCAAAGAATGATTGACCTCACTAATAGAACTCCACACTGCTATTATTTTGAACATGTCCCTTTCAATTAGTGATTCAATTACACAGAATCAGTCAGCAGCATGCATGTCATGACTGTTGGGTCTGTTGGATTTCTATTACTCTACTACACCTGCTAGTAAATTATTTGCCATGTAGAAATATCATTTCTACCAAAAACAGTGATTGATCAGGTTAGTGATGTCTGACTGCTATTATTTTGAACACAGCTGTAGGTGAATATGCTGAATCTGATTCTTTTTTTCTCATTGCAGATGTACGCAGTCTTTGCTACAGACAGAGCTCACATGGCAGGCCTGTCCCAGTGATTGAGACCGAATGTAACATTCACACTGAGATTCCACCAGAGTGAGACATTCAACCAAAGTGTCACATTCAATTAGAGGGTGCTTTTTTTCAGGATGGTGTTGGACCAGAATCTCTGTCATTTTGGATGCGCAACATGCAATTGAATGCCATTATTTTTCTGCTGCGATTGTTGTGCGGTAAGACATGCATTTAAAACTCACACTAAGCTTGTCACCTGAAAAGGATCAGGAACTTTTTTGGGTGACAAATGCACATACGGTAGCCCATTCAGGTGAATTGGCTGCCCTATGTGCAACACATGGAAATGTGTGTACACAGCGCTTTCAGTTGCAAGTGGGAACCAGCTCATTCCTGCAATTTAATATCTGAATGGGGCCTTAAAATGATGCTAAAAACGGTTTTTTACTTTAATGTTTTACTTGCATGAAGGTAAGAAAATGTTTTCTATTTCCCTGTTCTCCTCCTTTCCTGTGTGAAGAAGTGAGGGGAGAACAGATCCAGCACTATGCAGGGCTCTATCTCTTCTACCCGCTCTTCCTCTTCACACAGGGACTTGAACAGCAGCAGGAGCCACAGACACACAGTACAGGAGCAAGCAGACACCATGGGGTTTATTTACTAAAGCTGGAGAGTCCAAAATCAGACTCCCTTCTGCATAGAAACCAATCAGCTTCTAACCTCAGCTTGTTCAATGAAGCTTTGGCAATGAAACCTGGAAGCTGATTGGTTTCTATGCAGAAGGGAGTCTGATTTTGGACTCTCCAGCTTTAGTAAATAAACCCCCTTGTGCCCCCGTAGCAAACAGCTTGCTATGGGGACAAACGAAGATGAGAAGGAACCAAGATCACCAGCAGGGAACCCAAGAAAAGGACTATTGGGCTGCCATGTGTAATACCACTGCACAGAGCTGGTGGGTACAGGTCTGTTATTTTAATTAAAATAAAAACAATTGATTTTAGTAACGCTTTAAAGATGAATTTTAGACATTGGCTTAGCTTGGATCAATTTAAAAATGCAAATTTCACACCTGACTGTGACTAATAGTTAGCAGAAGCAAAGGGAGTGGCATGTCCATAACCATGCAAATCATGACATCACCGCCCCACCTTATCAAACTGAAAAAAACAAAACAAAAAAACAAACAAGGTATTCTATGAATGGCAGGAGTGTTACATGAGCAACCCTTTGGATCACTATGCAGAAGAGCAGCTGCTTGGCACTGAACCCAAAAGACTGCTGCTATCACTGTAGTAGCAGAGACTACTACTGTGCCTTGATGCTTCCACAGGAATTGGTCGTAGCTAAAACATGCATACTTACATTGATCCAAGTTGTACCAATATAACTATGCAAGAAAAATCATATTTAAACTTCAGCTTTAAACCTGCCCACTAGAACAATCGGTTTTGAATGAAATAGAACCTTTACAGATTTACACAGTTATGGACACACCACCCCCTCTTCTTCTCCTACTAACCAGGACGGTGGGTTAGGTTACTTTTTTCCAACGACAGGACCACGAATAGCCCTTTCTCTGGCCCTAATCACTTCATATATATTTAAAGCGATAGTAAACACAGCTTGGACACTTGTACCTGCAGGGAAGCTTATGATAAAGCGTAATTGTAGGTACAAGGAACATGTGCACTGTTTAGGAGATATTCACGGTTTCTCAAGCCAATGACGTCACCGGCACACGAGCTCTGAAGAGATGGCATACTCATGCCATCACTTCAGAGCTCTGTGCCGCAACCGTGACTCCCATGCGCATGTGTGAGCGAGACATCATCACGGCTCAGCCATTCAAATGGCTGGAGCCTGCGACCCCAGAATGAAGACTGGGTGAACATGGAAGCACTGTCAGCTGTGACAGCGTGTCATTAGATGGCTTCATTTTAGGGTCATTTTTTCCATAGTGTGCTAGCATGAGATACATACTAGCACATTCTGTCCTTAACTTGCAGGGAGAAGTTTTGTTTTTTTTTTTTAATACATGAGTTTACTACTGCTTTAAAATTAAAGACCACTATCTTTTGCAAAGAATCAAACGCATCCACATGGATTTAAAAAAAAAAAAAATGGGCATTTTTTTTCATTTTCTGCATTGGAACCTGCAAAGCATTACAACCACAGACTCTCTCTCCAGCCACATGTCTGTATAGAGGTATAGACCTTCAGTTCCAGGGCAGGAGGAACTATCAATGGTGATACCACAACACTTGTGCTCCATTGAGACCTATGAGTTCCTCTGCTGCGGTGTCAGATGGGACTTAATCTCTCCATTCACAACTCTCTGTAAATTAATTAGGTGGCTCTGCAGGCACATCCATGGACATGGACTTAAAAAAAAAAAAAAAAAAAAAGGACAGGAGCCTGCCGGAAGAAACTCCCCTGGATTCAGTAATGGGGGAGGTGGTTTGGACATGGGGGACTCTGAACATGTTACATCTAGCACCCTAAATATGGGTAGAACATGAAAGGTGGACTTTAAATATAACTGTCTGTTAGAGGAATTCCAACGGTATGCTAAGATATTTCCACCAGGACTCCAGAGAAGCTTGGTGGGGATCAGTCTCTTCCCTCAGCAACCAAAGGAGACATCCATTTTGAATGGGAGTGTTTACTGAAGTATCCTTACAGAGAATGCAGTTCTTGCACAAGTGAGCTTGCTTTTGAACTCCTGTACAATTTACATGGAAAGACTTTAAGACTCACATTAAATTCTTCCCGGAACAGTTTGTTGTCATCCGCCATTCTTCGGTTAATCTCTTCTTCCAGCTTGTCGACAGGCAGTGGTGGGTACTTGCGATTGGTGCTCGGAGATCTTGCCAGGAGTGGCATACTTTGAGGCTCTGTCATTAGAGGGAAAAAAAAAAAAGAAATGGTTTTTAGTTGCCCATTTCATCTGTCACAACACTCTGGTAGTATGATCACAACACCCAAGTTCCCAGCTCCGCTCACCTGCTTGGACCATTGGGAAATATTTCCACTGACTACATCTAAGGGCTGGTAAGCTGCAATATATCATTTTTTTCTTTTTGGGTTTAGATACACTTAGGTACACAAGTGCTTCATTATTTTTCTTCAACTGGCTCTGGTCCTCCTCCAGACTATTCACTTACTGCTTCCCAGCGAAGCCCCCCGCTTCTTCTGGGCAGCAGGGGGTGCACTGTAATGTAAGGGAGTGTGGGGGGCTCCCAACATATAAGGAGGAGGGGGTTAGGGTGCTCTGGACATATACAGATACAACTGACCCTTTGAAGGCAACTATGACAGACAGCGATGAAATGGAGTTCAACACCCCTGGGTTAGGATATACCAAACTGCAAAAAATGTAAAAATAAAAAAAACTGACCCAACACCATAGTAGTTCCCCTTTAATACATGAAACTGTGCTGTAGTGGTTGGTAAGAATCGGTTTGGTTAAAGTATAACTAAAGACAAAACCTTTCTTTTTTAGTTTTGGATAGAGTGGAGAGGGAGTAGAACCTCTGTCAGTTTTTATTGCTGTCTGTGCCCATTAGGGAGATTCACCCTCTCTATTTGTCCTCTTCACCATTATCGAAAGTAGAAGAAAATTACAAATGTGTCGTGTGACGGCTCCAACACTCACCCATGTCATCTGTTCTGCCATTGGACAACCGGAAAGAATTGGAGTGACTGCCGGCTTGCTTGTACTTCTTAAACCTACAAACATAGGTCGAAGGTTAGCTTACGTAAATAATGGCACATATCGTCATATAATATATCACTACTGTCACTTTCTAAGTTTTAAAAGTGGACCTAGGATCAGATACTGTATACATCTTTCATGTCAAAGTGGATCAAGGATCAGATACTGTATCATCTTTCATGTCAAAGTGGATCTAGGATCAGATACTTATACATCTTTCATGTCAAAGTGAATCTAGGATCAGATTTAATTTTAATGCATGCTAAATAATGTGTAAATGTTGACTCAAGTATACTTTCATACTGCCAGAAAACAACTTGTGACTTGCAACAAAGTTCCAATGTAAATTTTGATTAAATAGGGGAAAGGAGACTGAGTAAATTCTTCCTCCTGCCTCTAGCAGACTGATGGCAACGTTGATGTTGGTCATTGGTGCTTCGATCACCCTACAGTACACACAAACCTGCCCATCACATTAAAAGACCTACATCGAAGCAGGAGGGCTTGAATTTTACAGGCAAGAGTACATTTGCATACAATCGCACAGTGACCCCAGGGTTCAACAGTGTCACTGCAAACTAGGTATGGAGCCAGCTTTTTAAAAATGCAAATTCAAGCTCTCTCATCCTTGCATTACTATGTACTATGTCACTATGTTTACTATGTCACTGACCAGGACTAGCAAGCAAGTCCAGAGTTCAAACTTAACCTATTGCGTACTTGTTGCAGATCTGCAAATATCTAAGTAGTCAAAGGATGATGATGATGATACTCATGAAGCCTGCATCTTTAAAAAGAAGTGGGCTATGACTGGTTCTCTTTAGTGAGCTGGGGCCTATTAATCAAACATGCCCCCCATCCTCCATTTAGAGTTCCTCTCCTCCATCACAAAACCGATAAGCTGACTAGAAGTCCTCAAGGACCAACTTCTGCATAATGAAGATTACTAGAACAGTGGAGGGAATATTCCGCATATACAGTGTTGGTATTCCAGCCTACTCCAAGCATGAAAATAAAATGAAAAATCTAATTAATGCAGAGACTTAGTAAACACTATACTCAAACCCAGGAGGGTATCTGTTTGTGTGCCACAAAGACTCAGAATCTTTGAATTTCATAGAGGTCAAGCAAGTCATCCAGTCATATGAATAACGAATCCTTTACGCTATTCAAAGAAATTGATAACTCAGTTTTATAGCGGACGTCAGAAACCACTGGTACAGTTTCCCATTGCACAGAAACCCCCCTGCATTTCTGAAGGTGAAGGGTCTGAGGCTGACCGGAGGTCGGAGGATGAAGGGTTTGGGGTCTGATCTGAGGTCGGAGGATGAAAGGTTTGGGGTCTGATCGAGGTCGGAGGATGAAAGGTTTGGGGTCTGATCCGAGGTCGGAGGATGAAAGGTTTGGGGTCTGATCCGAGGTCGGAGGATGAAAGGTTTGGGGTCTGATCCGAGGTCGGAGGATGAAAGGTTTGGGGTCTGATCCGAGGTCGGAGGATGAAAGGTTTGGGGTCTGATCCGAGGTCGGAGGATGAAAGGTTTGGGGTCTGATCCGAGGTCGGAGGATGAAAGGTTTGGGGTCTGATCCGAGGTCGGAGGATGAAAGGTTTGGGGTCTGATCCGAGGTCGGAGGATGAAAAGGTTTGGGGTCTGATCCGAGGTCGGAGGATGAAAGGTTTGGGGTCTGATCCGAGGTCGGAGGATGAAAGGTTTGGGGTCTGATCCGAGGTCGGAGGATGAAAGGTTTGGGGTCTGATCCGAGGTCGGAGGATGAAAGGTTTGGGGTCTCATCCGAGGTCGGAGGATGAAAGGTTTGGGGTCTCATCCGAGGTCGGAGGATGAAAGGTTTGGGGTCTGATCCGAGGTCGGAGGATGAAAGGTTTGGGGTCTCATCCGAGGTCGGAGGATGAAAGGTTTGGGGTCTGATCCGAGGTCGGAGGATGAAAGGTTTGGGGTCTGATCCGAGGTCGGAGGATGAAAGGTTTGGGGTCTGATCCGAGGTCGGAGGATGAAAGGTTTGGGGTCTGATCCGAGGTCGGAGGATGAAAGGTTTGGGGTCTGATCCGAGGTCGGAGGATGAAAGGTTTGGGGTCTGATCCGAGGTCGGAGGATGAAAGGTTTGGGGTCTGATCCGAGGTCGGAGGATGAAAGGTTTGGGGTCTGATCCGAGGTCGGAGGATGAAAGGTTTGGGGTCTGATCCGAGGTCGGAGGATGAAAGGTTTGGGGTCTGATCCGAGGTCGGAGGATGAAAGGTTTGGGGTCTGATCCGAGGTCGGAGGATGAAAGGTTTGGGGTCTGATCCGAGGTCGGAGGATGAAAGGTTTGGGGTCTGATCCGAGGTCGGAGGATGAAAGGTTTGGGGTCTGATCCGAGGTCGGAGGATGAAAGGTTTGGGGTCTGATCCGAGGTCGGAGGATGAAAGGTTTGGGGTCTGATCCGAGGTCGGAGGATGAAAGGTTTGGGGTCTGATCCGAGGTCGGAGGATGAAAGGTTTGGGGTCTGATCCGAGGTCGGAGGATGAAAGGTTTGGGGTCTGATCCGAGGTCGGAGGATGAAAGGTTTGGGGTCTGATCCGAGGTCGGAGGATGAAAGGTTTGGGGTCTGATCCGAGGTCGGAGGATGAAAGGTTTGGGGTCTGATCCGAGGTCGGAGGATGAAAGGTTTGGGGTCTGATCCGAGGTCGGAGGATGAAAGGTTTGGGGTCTGATCCGAGGTCGGAGGATGAAAGGTTTGGGGTCTGATCCGAGGTCGGAGGATGAAAGGTTTGGGGTCTGATCCGAGGTCGGAGGATGAAAGGTTTGGGGTCTGATCCGAGGTCGGAGGATGAAAGGTTTGGGGTCTGATCCGAGGTCGGAGGATGAAAGGTTTGGGGTCTGATCCGAGGTCGGAGGATGAAAGGTTTGGGGTCTGATCCGAGGTCGGAGGATGAAAGGTTTGGGGTCTGATCCGAGGTCTGAGGATGAAAGGTTTGGGGCCTGATCCGAGGTCTGAGGATGAAAGGTTTGGGGGCCGATCCGAGGTCTGAGGATGAAAGGTTTGGGGGCCGATCCGAGGTCGGAGGATGAAGGGTTTGGGGTCTGATCCGAGGTCCGAGGATGAAGGTTTGGGGCCGATCCGAGGATGAAGGTTTGGGGGCCGATCGAGGATGAAGGGTTTGGGGTCCGATCCGAGGTCGGAGGATGAAGGTTTGGGGGGATCCGATCGGAGGATGAAGGGTTTGGGGGCCGATCCGAGGATGAAGGGTTTGGGGGATCGATCGGAGGATGAAGGGTTTGGGGGATCCGATCCGGAGGATGAAGGGTTTGGGGGCCGATCCGAGGTCGGATGAAGGGTTTGGGGGCCGATCCGAGGATGAAGGGTTTGGGGGCCGATCCGAGGATGAAGGGTTTGGGGGCCGATCCGAGGATGAAGGGTTTGGGGCCGATCGAGGATGAAAGGGTTTGGGGGCCGATCCGAGGTCGGAGGATGAAGGGTTTGGGGGACTGATCCGAGGTCGGAGATGAAGGTTTGGGGGCCGATCGGAGGATGAAGGGTTTGGGGGCCGATCCGAGGATGAAGGGTTTGGGGGCCGATCCGAGGATGAAGGGTTTGGGGGCCGATCCGGAGGATGAAGGTTTGGGGGCCGATCCGAGGATGAAGGGTTTTGGGGGCCGATCCGAGGATGAAGGGTTTGGGGGCCGATCCGAGGATGAAGGGTTTGGGGGCCGATCCGAGGATGAAGGGTTTGGGGGCCGATCCGAGGATGAAGGGTTTGGGGGCCGATCCGAGGATGAAGGGTTTGGGGGTCCGATCCGAGGATGAAGGGTTTGGGGGCCGATCCGAGGATGAAGGGTTTGGGGGCCGATCCGAGGATGAAGGGTTTGGGGGCCGATCCGAGGATGAAGGGTTTGGGGGCCGATCCGAGGATGAAGGGTTTGGGGGCCGATCCGAGGATGAAGGGTTTGGGGGCCGATCCGAGGATGAAGGGTTTGGGGGCCGATCCGAGGATGAAGGGTTTGGGGGCCGATCCGAGGATGAAGGGTTTGGGGGCCGATCCGAGGATGAAGGGTTTGGGGGCCGATCCGAGGATGAAGGGTTTGGGGGCCGATCCGAGGATGAAGGGTTTGGGGGCCGATCCGAGGATGAAGGGTTTGGGGGCCGATCCGAGGATGAAGGGTTTGGGGGCCGATCCGAGGATGAAGGGTTTGGGGGCCGATCCGAGGATGAAGGGTTTGGGGGCCGATCCGAGGATGAAGGGTTTGGGGGCCGATCCGAGGATGAAGGGTTTGGGGGCCGATCCGAGGATGAAGGGTTTGGGGGCCGATCCGAGGATGAAGGGTTTGGGGGCCGATCCGAGGATGAAGGGTTTGGGGGCCGATCCGAGGATGAAGGGTTTGGGGGCCGATCCGAGGATGAAGGGTTTGGGGGCCGATCCGAGGATGAAGGGTTTGGGGGCCGATCCGAGGATGAAGGGTTTGGGGGCCGATCCGAGGATGAAGGGTTTGGGGGCCGATCCGAGGATGAAGGGTTTGGGGGCCGATCCGAGGATGAAGGGTTTGGGGGCCGATCCGAGGATGAAGGGTTTGGGGGCCGATCCGAGGATGAAGGGTTTGGGGGCCGATCCGAGGATGAAGGGTTTGGGGGCCGATCCGAGGATGAAGGGTTTGGGGGCCGATCCGAGGATGAAGGGTTTGGGGGCCGATCCGAGGATGAAGGGTTTGGGGGCCGATCCGAGGATGATGAAGGGTTTGGGGGCCGATCCGAGGATGATCCGATCGAGGATGAAGGGTTTGGGGGCCGATCTGAGGATGAAGGGTTTGGGGGCGATCCGAGGATGGGGTTTGGGGGCCGATCTGAGGATGAAGGGTGGGGGGGGGCCGATCGAGGGGTGAAGGGAAGGGTTTGGGGGCCGATCTGAGGATGAAGGGGGGCCGATCTGAGGATTGGGGTTTGGATCCGAGGATGAAGGGTTTGGGGGCCGATCCGGAGGATGAAGGGTTTGGGGGGCCGATCTGAGGATGAAAGGGTTTGGGGCCGATCTGAGGATGAAGGGTTTGGGGGCCGATCTGAGGATGAAGGGTTTGGGGGCCGATCCGAGGATGAAGGGTTTGGGGGCCGATCTGAGGATGAAGGGTTTGGGGGCCGATCTGAGGATGAAGGGTTTGGGGGCCGATCCGATCTGAGGATGAAGGGTTTGGGGGCCGATCTGAGGATGAAGGGTTTGGGGGCCGATCTGAGGATGAAGGGTTTGGGGGCCGATCTGAGGATGAAGGGTTTGGGGGGCCGATCTGAGGATGAAGGGTTTGGGGGCGATCTGAGGATGAAGGGTTTGGGGGCCGATCTGAGGATGAAGGGTTTGGGGGCCGATCTGAGGATGAAGGGTTTGCGGGCCGATCTGAGGATGAAGGGTTTGCGGGCCGATCTGAGGATGAAGGGTTTGGGGGCCAATCTGAGGATGAAGGGTTTGGGGGCCGATCTGAGGATGAAGGGTTTGGGGGCTGATCTCTGATCTGAAGATGAAGGGTTTGGAGGCTGATCTCTGGTCTGAAGATGAAGGGTTTGGGGGCTGATCTCTGGTCTGAAGATGAAGGGTTTGGGGGCTGATCTCTGGTCTGAAGATGAAGGGTTTGGGGGCTGATCTCTGGTCTGAAGATGAAGGGTTTGGGGGGCTGATCTCTGGTCTGAAGATGAAGGGTTTGGGGGCTGATCTCTGGTCTGAAGATGAAGGGTTTGGGGGCTGATCTCTGGTCTGAAGATGAAGGGTTTGGGGGTTGATCTCTGGTCTGAGGATGAAGGGTCTGGGGCTGATCTGAGTTCTATAGGTGCAGGGATTGGGGCTGATCTGAGGTCTATAGGTACAGGGATTGGGGCTGATCTGAGGTCTATAGGTACAGGGATTGGGGCTGATCTGAGGAGTGAAAGTGCAAGTATTGGGGCTGATCTGACATCAGAAGGTGCAGGACATGGGGCTGATCTAGGATTTGAAGGTGTATGAATTGTGGATATTCAGAGGTCTACACTATAGTTAATCTCAGATCAGACCCAATTTTCGGATGGCCTCAGGTCTGGCCCAGTCAAGACTGTAGCTGATGTTAGGTCTGCAGGTGCATGCATTGGGGCTGCTCTGGTCATGAAATATGCGACAAAGGTTTTCTGAATGGCAGCGGTGCCAATAGAGCAGAAAACTGTGGTTACAATGCAGAACGGCTAGAGATCTGCCGCTCCCATGAGGGATCAGCAAGATAGGAGATATGGATACTTACATTGGTTTAAGATGGATCAATATAACTATGCAAGGAAAAAAAAATAAAAGAAAAATCACACCTTAAACGTCAGCTTTAATGTGGAAAAGGTTGCTGACCCCTGGTCTACAGGCTCATTATCTTTCTAAACCAGCATTAACCTTTCTTATTTTTTTCCCTGATAAAATTTGAATCATTTTCTTTTCTCTGCACTTTGTAACAATCCTGTTGCTGGAGAAATGTTGCCAATGACAGGACTGCACTTGTGCCATGGTCCTTAAGGCCATGACAGCCTAGGGATCTTGTTGCTAAATTGCTGAAAGCTGCTGAGAAAACGCTCTAATTCCATGTGTCGCTCTCTTGAAGGCTGGATGAACATGACACTGCTGACTGGAATGATGCAGAATTTAAGTTGACAGCAAGGGAGTGACATCTTGCTAATGACAGGTAAAGAAGACATGGAAGTTGGCGAGTATTTTACTTGTCACGTCTAGCCAGCAGCTGCAGAGGAGAGGAGAGAGCACTTGACAATGGCTGGGAAAGCCTGCAGCAATGACACAGCCCATAGGCTCCCATGTCACAGTCACTGTCAGCGCTCCTTCCTCTCCCCTGCAGCCACTGCTGGCTGACATAGTGGAGCCAGATCACATTACCATACCCGGCTGAAAAAAAGGAAGTTAATCTTTTTTACACAGGTTAGTAAGTATAGATGTCAAGAGGGTGAGGGGACATTTTTAAAGCAGAAGGCCAGTCGGAATAAAAAAAATACATAAAAAAATAAAAAAAAAGTCAGCAGCTACAAAAACTAACTGCTGACTTTTTAAAAAAAAGGGACACTCACCTGTCCCTCGATCTTGCGCTGTCCTCACACTGGCTGGGCTGACCAACCGCCCTGTCTCCTTGGCACCGGCATCTTCAGCGTGGGCACCCGGCTGTGACAGCCTGTGGCTTCACAGCTGGGTGCCCACTGAGCATGTGCGAGCAGCACTGTGCATTGTGAATGGTTCCGCACCTGTCAAATTCGGGGCTCCCCTACAAAAAGTGCCAATCCTTAACGGGGAGCGGAGGAAAAAAAGCCCTAAAGCAGAACATCCCTTTTGGGTGAAGTTCCACTTTAAGACCGGTAAGTTTAAGCTGGATTTTTACCTTTTTTGTTTGTTTTTTTTTTTTACAGATAGAAGGAATTCTACTTTAATGTTGAATTCCTAGCAGTGATGGGATCATTAGTGTCTTCTTTTGTTTGGAGTGTGTTATATATATATACACACACACACACACACACAATATACTGTACAGTATATACACATTTAAGTTACACTTGTTACAAACACAGGTGCTGCTTCATACTATTGTACAGGCCTATAGGTTAGGTGTAAGCTGACAAAAAAAAAAATCCTCTCCAACAGACTGACCTTGGCTTAGAACCAGAACCAGTCATCCAATGGACATCTGTAAAATGCAGTTAGCCATCCACACGATGTAAAAGAAAAGGTGATTCGTCAGATCGGACCACCTTCTTCCATTGTTCCGTGGTCCAATGCTGATGCCCGTTTTAGGTGCTTTTGGCTGTGGACACGATTCAGCATGGGCACCCTAACCAGTCTGTGGCTACGCAGCCCCATACACAACAAACTGCCATGCCCATTTTTTCTGCTTTCAACCCAACTTCAGTGACATGTTAACTTGCGGCCTACCAAATCCCACTCACTTTCAGATGCAATTGTAACGAGATAATCAATGTTGTTCACTTAACCTATCAGTGGTCAAAGTTACGGCTGCTTGGTGTATATTGCTAAAAGAGCACTTGCCTGGATCTTTTTATTATCATTCTGTGAAAATCTGATGTACCAGGCTGTCAGGCTGCCCTATCTCCCCGAGATCTATGCCGATTACAAGTACTCATAAAACATATACACTCACCAGCCTCTTTATTAAGTACATGTGCTCAATTGCTTGGTAACACAAATTGCTAATCAGCCAATCACATCGCAGCAACTCAATGCATTTAGGTATCTACATGTGGTGAAGATGACTTGCTGAAGTTTAAACTGAGCATCAGAATGGGAAAGAAAGGGAATTTAAGTGACTTTGAACGTGGAATGGTTGTTGGTGTCACACGGCTGGTCTGAGTATTTAAAAAAAAAATTGCTGATCTACTGGGATTTTCATGCACAACCATCTCTAGGGTTTACAGAGAATGGTCCGAAAAAGAGAAAATATCCAGTGAGTGGCAGTTGCGTGGAAAAAAATGTCTTGATGAGGTCAGAGGAGAATGGGCAGACTGGATTGAGATGACAGAAAGGCAACAATAACTCAAATAAAGTATCTCACAGCTGTGTCTGTGCAGTCTGTGAGAGACTTTGTTTGGACTTTTGGGGAGAAAGTGTTACCTTGGCGTCTAGGGTTGACATTCATTGTTTATAGGGGGATACCGATTGTTTAGGATCCATTTTAATAACTCAAATAACCTCTTGTTACAACCAAGGAATGCAGAATACCATCTCTGAATGCGCAACACATCAAACATTGAAGCAGATGGGCTACAGCATCTGGGTAGCAAGGTGTACCTAATAAACAGGCTGGCAAGTGTATAGCCAAAGGTACCCTGACCATCACACCTACAGAAAAATGTATGTGGACACCTTTCCAAATTAGGACTTCTGGTTTTGAATGTATACAGTTTACAACATACTAAAACATATTCAACTCCATATTAATGCCCATGGTTCTGGATGACTAGGTGCAGTAAGGAGCAGGACGTCTGCAATCGAATTTAATGAATGAAGCCATACAAGCCGAACCTCCCACCAATTGTTAAAGGCAGAAGTGCCTCTTAGAAGACTCACCTCAGCATGTAGAGGACGATGATAATGAAGACAATGATGAGCAGTGAGGAGAGCGCCACCATGACTGCGATAATGGGCGTTTCATCTGAAATGACAAAAAAAGTTATTTACAACACACAGAGCGCCCACTCAGTGTTCACCTCTGATGTAGACTTCTCGGCATAGTACACAAAACTGCGCTGACAAAGAAAAGTCATCCGTGTCTTTCCACTGAAACTGCAAGAAAAAATGTATTCAGCGCTGAATTACGTCTACGTAGCGGAGAAACTGGGAGCCGCGGCACCAAGAACAATGGAGCATTGTAAGGAGAGCTGAAGTAAGGAGCTTGTGATCAGCTGCTGGGCTATTACTACAGTCAGCTCCATATATTCTTCCCGATTTCACACTACCTATACAGTATGTGCTGTCATTGTGTCATTCTCTCAATGGCAGAGCCACATCATCCACCGGGCAACCTAGGAGTATAGGGCCTGATAGACGTTCACAGAGCCCAGCTACAACATTTATGTGCCTTCAGCAACCAAGAGGTGGTAGTGCAATCAGTCAAACTGCCTGTCACTTCACAAGAGATGACATATATACTTGGTGTCATCCTAGACTCCAATCTGTCCTTCCAGCCCCAGGTCCAATCACTGACAAACTCATGCAGACTTCACCTCCGCAACATCTCCAAGATACACCCGTTCCTAACACCGGAAACCACTAAGCAACTTCTTCACTCCCTTATTATATCATGCCTTGACTATTGTAACTCCCTCCTCATTGGCCGACCTCACCGCAGGCTATCCCCTCTTCAGTCTATCATGAATGCTGCGGCCAGACTCATCCTTCTTACTAACCTCTCCGTTATATCATCAACCTTGTCTCCAAATATCACCCAAAATCCGTCCTCTCCGCTCCTCACAAGACCTCCTACTCTCTAGCTCCCTTGTCTCCTCCGCCCATACTTGTCTCCAGGACTTCTCCAGGGCATCCCCAATCCTCTGGAACCAGCCCCCGTACCAGTTTACCAATCCATCCTTCTGGACTATCGCCCCAGCTAACACTGAAATCCTCTACTCTTCAAACAAATAAAAAAAACAAAAAAAAGAAAAAAAAAAAATAAAAAAGATAAAAAAATAAAAAAACTCCATCCCCACAGTTATTAAACTCTTGTACCACTATCCCATCCCCTCCTAGAGTGTAAGCTCCATGGAGCAGGGCCCTTCGAAACCCCCTCTTGTATTGAATTGTATTGTTACTGTACTGTCTTGTGTATTGGTCTCCCACCATATGTTAAAGCGCTGAGCAAACTGTCGGCGATTATAAATCCTGTATATTAATAATAATATTTGCAGGCGCAGTCTGGGTGTCTAATACAGCCATGTCAGTGCAAATGGGGTAACAACTCTGTAGACTATTGCAATTCTTATTGTTGTCAAAGGGGATGGAATGACCATATGCTATACTGTGCACAAGGGGGCCCGATTTGGCCTTGGTCAGTAGTACTGAATTACAGCTTTCTCCATTCTTCCCAGCCCCACCTACTTGCTGCCAATTTTACTGGCGGCGGGGGGGGAAAAAAAAAAAAAAAAAAAGAATCCCCCTGTGTTCAGGACAAAATGATTACTGAAACTGCCCTTCTAGCCATGCACTGTGCAGCTCACAGCAACACTGGAAGAAGTAGGGCAATACACACAAATCTGAAGGCAATGTGTAAACACCACAAGAGTCAGTGTAGGTTTACTCCTATGCAGGTTGCATTTGAGGCGATTCTGCTTGTGTTTTGTGTTGCGTGTTGCGTGTTTGCACTTGCGTTTTTGATGATGCTTTTTTCGGGGGGGGAAGGGGGCGGGTGGTGGTTCATTTTTCTCGTGTTGCTAGCAAAAAAAAACATGGCAAAAGCGCAATAGATGCTTTTCTGCAGCGTTCCCATTGACGTCTATAAAAACCGAAAACGCAACTTTTTTCCATTCTAAAAAAAAGTAACTGGACCCTTTCCAAAAAACCCTGCATTCCGGGGCGAAAACGTAGAGATGTGAACTGTGTCCCTATTAGGGAAAATCATGTTAAATGGACTGTTTACTGCATTTCTGCATAAACGCTGCAGAAAATGCATAGCTGTGAACCCAGGGTCGAGAGGAAAACTGTGGACACGTAAAAGGAAGTAATATATCATTCCAGTGCATTTAAAAGTTAGGACATTTTTCTTTGAGAGGTGGATATAACCTAAATACAACCACTTTACACACTCTATTGACAACTAGTAAAGACCAGCCATCCACGAGGTCATTTTTACTTCATTTAAAGTGATTGTAAGGGCACATTCTCTTTTATTTTTTTTACAATATTAAACACGTCATACATACCTGCTATGTGCAGTTGGTTTTGCAGCGGAGGGGTCTCTTCCATCCTAATTGGCTATGACCACAGCAGGAACAATTGGCTATCGCTACCTGTCAGTCACAGCCAGTGAGCCAATGTTTAGACAGAGTGGGGGTTGGGGACGAGCCACAGATGTCTGTGAATAGACACAGTGCAGCGGTTTTGGGAGTGAGCCTGCTGGGTGCCCATTATAGCAAGTTGCTTGTTATGGGGGAACTTGGCAGGAGGGATGATCACGGAGCACACAGCGGGGGGGCACGAGAAGTGTAGGATTGGGCTTTGCTTGACCCGATCCTACACTTCTCAGGTCCCCCCGCATGTGTTGCTCCGGGATTCCACACTCCTGCCAAAAGCTACCTCCATAACAAGCACTGCTTGATATGGGGGCACCCGAGCAGGCTCACTCTCCAAACCGCTGCTCTGTGTATCAAAGTCCGTGTGGATGGATCGTCCCACCCCCAAGAGCTTGCTTTATTATGGGGGCAACTCCGAGCAGCTCATCCAAATCGCTGCTTTGTGGTCTATTCACCAGACAGCTTTGGATCATCCTCACCCCCACTCTGTCAACATTGACTCATTGGCTGTGAGCTGACGGTAGCAATAGCCAATGGCTCCTGCTGTGGTCTTGCCAATAGGAGGTTGAGAACCCCTCATGCATACTGCTGAAATCGAGATGGGGCTCAGGTCAGTTATTGGGCGGGGGGGGGGGTGAGATGTGCACACGAAGGTTTTTTTTCGACATGCAAACAATGCATGAGGTTAAACACCTTGGGTCTTTACAACTGCTTTAGCACAATCAAGTATTTTCCCTTTAACTATAAAGCCAGCCATACCGCCCGTCCGTTTCTTATTCAACCCGCATGTTTAAAGCAAAAAAAAAAAAAATGACCCAACCCCCTCACACAATCAAGGTGGAAAAGGAATCGTTCCACTTGGGCATTTATTCTGAAGGAGGGGTCTCCCCACCCTCAGAAAACACAGATCAGACGCCGCCCCTTGCTGTGGGGAGCAGAAAAACTATCGGGGGGCGGTTTTTTAACAGAAAATCTATTTTGTCCCTGTACGGCCAGCTTTCACAGCTTTTTTTTTTTTTTTTGCTAACCCATAAATCAGGATGGAATTGACATTTGCGATCTGTGGTTTTTTAAATTTTTCCCCCTGTACTTGACTGGGCATGGAGATAGTTTTAAATTTTTAGCACCCTCCCATAGTTCTT